ACGGACAGACGGACAGACGGACAGACGGACAGACGGACAGACGGACATGGATAAATCAACTCAGCTCGACGTTCTGATCATATAAGTATACATTTTGATGGGTCTATCTCTTTTTGTTCTGGTACTTACAAACATCGGACCAAAGTTATAATACCATTTCATGCTCATGAAAGGTATAAATATTCGCAGTTATAATGGTTTGAAATTTATTTTATTAAGGGCCGTAAGCAACAAATAAATACGTAATATTATAATGGTATGAATGGTAGCATCTCTTGTGTGTTGACCAACACGCTCCTACCTACCTACCTACCTACATACATATGTATCTAATCCAAAAACTAAGGGGCTATGAATGTTTCTGTGTAGCTCCTTACGATTTTTTGCCGATTTTTTTCTGTTCTGTTCTGTTAAAGGCCTTAAAAAATATTTGGCCAAGTTTAACAGTTATTACTGGGCTAAAAAAATAAAAGTGCGGATTTTTCAGTTATAATTGGACTTTATACTGAAAGGATCGAAAAATAAAACGAATCCAGGAATCTTGATCAGGAGGTCCTCGGATTGAAGGAACATTGATAACTTTACTCTACACGATAATATTTTTCCCCGGACTTTTATAACATCTAAAAGAAAAATAACTGTTTTTTCCGGTCCCTGACCCTAACCGCCCAAAAAAACGTAAGCAAAATTTTTTCAAAATTATTCTTTTGATGCAGAAATATTCCTAAAGCATACAGATGCATTTCTGCATCAAAGGCAAGGCAAAGAAATTGTCTAAAATCAACCGGATTTTTTGCGACTTCAAAGTATTTGTGATACTAAAATTTGGTCCTAAAACGGCATACCAAACATTTTTCTCGAATTTCAAATTAAAATGGTTGAAACTTGATTAAACTGTTAATTTTTCTAATTTTTGTACAAAGATTTAAATTTTGGATTATTACGGTTTCGGTTACAAATTGGCCACGCTTTTTTAAAAAACGAATGAACATTAAAAAAACAAAAGAAAGTGGGTTGAGATTTCGCGTTTGTATCGATTTATCGCAGTCTGTATGTATGCATGTAATTTAAAAATAAGACTAAATTATTTTTTATTAATGCAATACCAAGCCTGCAACCAACAAATACTTGCAATTTCCATAAAAAATATGTTGATTTAATTTTGATCGTACCATCGATAGTATCGATAGTGAGAGATACTGAAATATCGAATGGCGTCACTAGCAATAGTTTGACAACTATAGTGAAAAGCTTTCACTGAAACCGAAAATGTAACTAACTTTTTAAGTTTGTGTTTATAATGATTACACAACACAAAAACCACAAACAAATAATTCCGGTAATTTGAAATTGATTTTATTTATTTTCTTAAATGCACAAATTATGATAAAATAAATAACTAGGAACTAAACAGCTGTCTCTTTTTGCGAGTCAATGATAAAAATATATATCTATGAATGGTGAAGGGAATGTTATTTTTAACCCCGGGCAGTTGCGGCAACGTTGGCAGCCTGCTGCGCCACGCCAAGTCCCTGAATGGTGGCATCCCTTGTGTGTTGACCAACGCGTTCCTGTTCGGAAAGGAAATATTACAATAGTAGGTACATATGCACTTAATCAAAAAAAAAAAAAAACTAGTAGGCTTTGAATGCTTCTGTGTTTTTACTTACGATTTTCTTGCCGATCTTTTTTAGCCAACCCGCTTCTGTTTGTCCTGCAAAGATGGCGATCAGAACGGCCAAGAAGATGAAGACTTTATTGAAATTCATTTTAATTTTTTTTTCTGCAATGTAATGCTTTACAAATTAGCTTGAGAACTTTTCAACGACGACTTATTATTGTTTTTGTGGAGACGTTCCAAATGAGTTTGATGATAATAAATTTGACGACTGCGGCTTTTATAGCGAGCAGCACTTCGATGCTGTACTCTATCTTCGGCAGCATTATGTATACGGGGGATCACAAATGCATAACACAATTTCTTATCGGTAAAGAACCAAAATGCGTAAGTACCGTGTATGTATGTATGTATGTATGTATTTCTGTACATACATATGTATGTATGTAATAAAAACCTATGCTATATGCATTATCACGAGCATTCCATGAAGAAAGGTATTGTTATCGCCAAACTAATTACTTTTCCGAACTATTCGAGCGGCAAGGAGTTTCAAACATAAAATTAGAGGTGCAAAAAAATGTATTGACCTCGATACATCAATTTGTTTTTAAATTTGGGCACAACATGGATGCTGTGGGCGAAAGCGATTAAAATCGAAGAAAATTCCTTCGCTACTTGTAAAAGTGACGGTGAGTAGATCGTGCGCTATGGGTAAAACTAAAATTGTATTGTGTAGTTTCAAAAATTTTCAAGACGGTGCTTGAGGAGGCTAAGCACAATTTGGTAAAGATCGGTAAAGTATGTAGCTATTAAGATACCCATATATGTTATATTTAGGCGATGCTACGGCCACCTTGCAAAGTTTTTACGTAAGCCAATTTTTGTGCTAAAGAGCCACTGCATATATCAATTTTGGGTAAATATTGATGAATTCTTTAGGCCGTATTTATATTTAAGTTGCTTAACTTCGACAATTTGTATCGATTTATTCGAAAATAAATGTACTTTAAAATAAATACTTCCTATTTGACAATTTTCATAGTAATTTTTCAATTTTCGCTTAAAGTTAAAAAAATTTAGAAAATGGAGTTTTTTTTATTTTACCCGATGAAAACTCCCAATAAGCTAAGTCTAAAAAAAATTATTATTTCGTTTTAAAGCTCTATAAATTCCTTTTTCAAAACATTTCGGTCATATCAATTGGCTTAGTGCCAAATTTGTATTTTTTTTTTGTTAATCTCCAAAATAGGTTCTGTAAATCGCACCGTATTCAAATCGTATGATTTGCGGAACATGCCTAATAGCTTTTACTAAAAATTCGATTATAATCGATCTTTCTCAACAATTATTGTAAAAATATCGATGTTGTGAAAATCGATTTTGTATGTGTGTATATTGTTTTTAGGACAACAATAAAAACTCATTAAGCGTTCTTTCAACTTCTCTGAGTCTAGCAAAGCCCTTGCACGGTAAAAACCAGTAAAAACAGCTTTACAAACCGTGTAATCCGTGAGCCTTGCAATGTCTTCGCAAGGCTCAGAGAATACCCCTAATCATTTTCATCTGTGGGCATCAACGAAGCTTACACCTGAAGTATTTGATTTGCACGAAATATTAGTGAGTGGGCGTGAAGTGACGTGCAAAAATTAGGCTTAGAATAGCCAACTCACCTATTTTCGCTAACAAATTTATTAAACTGATTTTCGTCCCTTGCATACACATATGGAACCCACGATCAATTTCATTATAAGTCTTTGAACCTTTTTGAAATGAATTTGTCTTAAAATGGGTGCTTATTGTTATTAACATTGCTGTTCTTGCTTTCAAGTCATTTTTATTGTTTTGCAATTATCATTAGTTTCGATGAAATTTTACATTGGACGCAGCAGCTAAGATTTAGACTAGAGCTGTCCCGTGGAGCTGGAAAACCACCGATAGTGTCCCCACTGGATAGTTTAGGTTATGCCTACGGTGACCATCCGTCCTGTATTATACGGGACAGTCCTTTTTTTGACCCATTGTCCTGGTAATTTATTTATTTTATACGGGTCTCCAAATGTTTTCATGAAAATGGCATGCCTATGAACGAGTTTTAAGTGATGTTGGTACACATATGAATGCCTGTGATTCGAATCGAGGAAAACATACAGCGACCAAATTAGGACTCGACATTTTAGTAAGTGTTGGTAAATTTCCAACTTTGCCCAAAAAACTATAAAAATTAATTCTGCAGCGTTTCACCAACATTTCAAACTTTTTAATTAGAATCTTTAGAAAAAAATTTGGTTTGCAGTTTTGTAACTTATTAAAATTGAGTATTATAAAGTGCGAGTGGAAAGTGCTGCTCATTTGCTTCTCTTTGAAAAAAATGGTCGAACATGCTTACTTTGTATGAAAAAAATGCATAACACCCTCAACAAAAAACATTGCCAAAAGTCTTAGCAACTTAAAATTGCGAACGAATTTTTTTAACAAATTTTGTGGGATACAAATCACGAGAAAATTATCCTACAAATTCCTTATGTTACTATAAGGATACTGTTTCAGCGGTAATACATCTAGGATCAATGAAGTAGGCTTTAAGATCTGTAAGCTGTTGTGGAACAAATTTGCAAAATTGTTTTATGCCCCATCGTTTCGTTGTTCATTCATATTAACTTTTTTCTCTTTATTTACATACTTACATATGTATATATCGAAACGGCAAAGGCTTTGGGCCAATAAATGTAAAATAAGAATGATAGAGTAGTGGAGATATAGAAGTTACTATCGGTAGTTATAAAGACTACCAATGGAGGCTATAACAATCGATGGTAAAAGCTAAAAACGGCTCCATCGATAGTCTTCCAGTTCTACTACTCCGTACAAACACACTGAGGGGAAAAATAAACCACATCCTCTTTGTTTCAAACTAAAAAACATATGATTTGGCGCCGAAAAGGCGTACTTAGCACGGTGCATATGCAACTGGCTGAGTCAGTTGGATCGTCGGTTCGAATCCTACTGAAAGAAGTCTGATGAGGAAATGTGGTGATTTCCGAAATAGCTATCACTTCTACCATTTTTTCAAATTATTGTTGCTTTTCCACAATAAATTTTCATTTAAAAAACGGCCTCGAGCTCAATATAAATTGTTGAATATAATTGTTATAAGGCCGCAAAAAATAACAAAAACAAATATTTGAAAATTGTATTAAAGAATGGATGACAAGAGGCTTAAAAAGGTTGTAGTTTGAAAGGTCTGCCACCTGTTCGAAAAGCCAAATTTAAATTAATTATTCGCAAACTATCTAAAAAATTAATATATGGGTGTCAAATGAAAGATTGCTAAGAAACCTTCAGGTTGAGCATTAAAAATATTACTGAGGTGTTTTACGAGTGTTGCCACCCGTTTAAAAATTTAATTCATTTAATTTAAATGAATTACTACAATATGTGTATCAATCAAAAGGTTTTTGATAAGGGTTTTAGTTCTAAACTACATGTAGGAGGGTTGCCATCTGTTTGAAAAATCTAATTCTTCTTGAATTAAAGGAGTTTGATAATTGGAATATGTATGTATCATAATATGGACGTCAGACAAGAGGGATTTAATAGGGTTTTAGTAGGACAATATTTCGGAGAGGATTGCCACCTGTTTTAAAAGTCGAATTTAAATTAGAAATGTTCAGCTTAAACGTGTAGAATTTTCTGAGATTTTTGAAGAGGGTTGCCACCTGTTATAAATCTAAATTCAAATACAATTATATTATAAGTTTGATGAGTTATTACAATCTATGTTTTAGTTGGAAGAGTCTTGAAAAGGCTTTATTTCTAAGAAACATATGTATAGCAGGGACTCCATATGTTTTAAAATTCAAATTCAACTTGAATTAAAGGAATTAACGGTATAAAAAGTAAAATTCAAAAGTTGCAATCATTTCAATGAATTATACGGGTATCAATCGAAATGATTTTGAAATGGCTTCATTTCGAAATTATATGTATGTATGTACATAAGTATGAAGAAGTATCACAAGGGAAAGGTTTAAGATAGTTTTAGTTTGAAAATATTTTGAAGATATTTAAGAAATTCAAACTCTTCTGGTTTTCGCATTTTTTAAGTATGTTGAGTTTAATTAAAATAAATGACTCCGAATGTAGCACGTAGAAATTTCATACACTCAGCGAAGCGGGTGAGAGCGAGAAGCCTAAAACTATATTGTTAACATTTTGGTCATACATAGTTATGGGGTACATATTTTTAGGCTTCGTTTTCTGTATAAAAATATTTAGGTTTGTATACCACTAAAACTTTGTTCATTGAGGATATTTCCACTATGCGTAGTCTTCATAAAAGAAAGAATACATATAGGAAAGGTTTTCCGTGAAAATTCCGACTTTCTTATATGCAGTAATTACTGTACATACCCTGTCGGCAATTTCGTAGTCGACTACTAAAATAGTTAACTCGTTTTCTTTTCGTGACATCACCACGTTAAAATAACGTAAATTAGTCGAGCCGTAGCCACCCCTAGTTCATAAATAGTGAACTTGCAGTGCATATATAGTCAGTTGAGTTCCCAACAGGGTATGTATTAAGTAAGTTTACGAGGTTTACATGGTAACGAGGTATTTGCGCGTTTAGATGAATCGCTCTATAAAAAAAAACTGAAAATTTAATTCAAAAAGCATATTACTACAGTTTAACGTACATATGTTTAATATGAACCAAAATTAAAGTGTCGCGAGTCTTAGGAGGTGACATACGCTGGGGATTTTCATAACTGGAATTTTTTTTTACCAAGAAGTACTGTAGAAGACTCACACTAGAAGTAATTACATACACAATGCTACAAAGAAGTACGGAATACACCCCAAACCAAACTTAGCGTAAATTGTCGAGTAGTAGTCGAGTACGGCATATATGTAAATAGGTTTCTTATAGATCCCGAACCCAATTTTTTGTTTAAAATCGCCGTTATTTTCGTACATCTGGCACTCATCTATTAAAAGCTTGAATATATATATTTTTTTAAATCAAATATGAAGATCTTTAAAATGGTGTATAAAAATATGTGTATGTATTGTCTGTCTTAGATTGCTGGCAATTTTTACCAGGTACATTTGAAAAAAAAAAAACGAGGTATAAAATCCCCGAGTTAAGGAAAAAACATAATGAAACTGTTTAATGTTGTCGTCTTATCAGCAAAGCTTTGCTCCCATGATGCAATTTTAATTAATACACACACACACATACATACATACATACAGAAATATGTGCATACAAAAAACATATGTATGTATGTACGTACATTGATGGGCATAAGTGATCCCCCGTTTAATGATGGAAATGGACTTTTTTGCTGCAGAGGCTGTCGCCAATCGAAGTAGTAGCTCTCGCTATAAAAGCTGCAGTCGTCAAATTCTTCATCATCAAAATCATTTGGAACGTCCCCAGTAAAGACAATAGTCGCCGCTAAACAGCTACCAAGCTAATTTGTAAAGCATAATATTACAGAAAAAAATACAAAAAAAAAATAACAATGAACTTCAATAAAGTCTTCATCTTCTTGGCCGTTTTGATCGCTATTTTCGCAGGGCAAACAGAAGCGGGTTGGCTAAAAAAGATCGGCAAGAAAATCGTAAGTAGAAACACAGAAGCATTCATAGCCTATTCGTGTTTTTTTTTGGATTATGTACATATGTACCTACTATATTGTAAAATTTCCTTTCCGAACAGGAGCGTGTTGGTCAACACACAAGGGATGCCACCATTCAAGGACTTGCCGTGGCGCAGCAGGCCGCCAATGTTGCCGCAACTGCCCGGGGCTAAGAATAGTTATGCTATACCTTACCGTAAAGTGTTCACGATTATTTACTCTTTAATACATATTTATAATTTATTTATTTTGACCTACAATTATAAAGTTTATTTATCATAGTTTGCCAATAAATTTCTTACATACATACATATATGTAAGTGCATGTGTACTTTATTTAAGAAAATAAATTCAAACAACTTCAGATTATAATAATATTCTTTAATTTTATCGACCATGTGCATCAAGCAAAAATAAATTCAACTTATATAAAAACTGAAAAAAAAAAACATTTGATCTAGCTTCTCCTCAACTTGTGATGTATACCTTTTTCCATTTTATTTGTAAAATAAAAGTATTTATATTTGAAATTTGTTTACTTTCTCTAAAATTTGATTAGCCATTCCCAAAAAAATAAATCAGGATCAACTAGACAAATAAATATAGTTATAAGGATGTTTTGCTGCTATTACAATTAAAAATATTTTTGTTAAAAGTAATGCGAAAAATACAATCGTCCTTCGGAGTCGGCGTGAAACTGTAGGTCTTTCCCCTTCGTGTGACATCAAGGCGCACGCCACAAATCGGGGAGAAGCCCGGCCAAAACAACATATGTGTAAGCGCCAATATATTATTATTATTAAAATGCGAATTTCAAAAATTCGTAAAAAAGTCAAACTTTATTTTTTACGTATGTATACTCAAACTCAAGATAGAATAAATTGAAAAAAGAGAGGAGAAAGAGGGGAGAATTCAATGACACTTTCATTTTACGCCTGTTTTTGAAAAAATTTGAAATCTACTCCTCTACTCTGGTTGACTTCAAATCTATCCCGTTTTCTCACTCATGTTCTGCCCTTCTTGGGCCCGTTTTTTGAGTAAGAATGATAGAATACAAGATTGCGCCGATTGCAGCCGAATTCGCGAGAGTAATTTTGGCGTGACGTCATCGTAGAGTTGACAACCGGGAGTGGCAGTTTTATACTGCTCTCTAGTGATGTGGTGAATTGTCGGTACCTAATACTTAAAAAATATTTCGGTACCCAATACATACTTCCTTTTCGATACCCGATACCGATTCTTTGCATTAAACCTTCATCATTATATGCATTTCAAATTTAGAAAGAAACGTTCATTACTAATTTATATGATATTGGCTAAAACACTTGAACTTATCGCAACAGAGAAATATTACTTTATCAGTTTTAACCTTAGTCGATCCAAGGTTCAAGAAGAATGTTTGGAATGATGAAGATGCCTTTCAGGGGGGAGATTCTGTAACCAGTTAGCGACAAATTTCGAATTGATATCGCCCTTGTTGACGTAAAAATATTTAATATCATACGTCAATAAAACCGATACCGATTCGAAAATTGTCGCTAACTGGTTACAGAATCGGCCTACAAAAATGATATCGTCCGATTCAGATGGAACAAAAATGCTTCAAACAAGTAAGAGTTTCTCTGCATTATCAGTATCAAATGCTCTATTGGCTCCTACATTCGGGCTTTGATAGGTGAGTCCCCCCTGAACCATTTTTGCCATATTTTTGGCCTATGTGCGCTTTTATTCGAAACCTAAATGTTTCGGTACCGAGTATCGAGAGCATTGAGTAATTTTTAAATCGGTACCGAATATCGATCAATACTTAAAAGTATTAACCAGAGAACGTATAGTTATGAGAAGATGCAAATCGTAAATCTGCTCTTCTTCATTATTTTCTGAAACGTTTCAACCATGGGTCGTAACAGAGAAATGCTAAATTTCATGTTACTGTGCTGCAAAGTCTGCAAACCTGCAAACTGAATGTTTATCATCTGTTAACCAAACCAGCAAGCATATGAAAACAAAAACTTGTAATTACAATTAAAATAAATAAATTATT